ATACGATATTGATGCATGATTCCATTTGAAATTGATAGAATTGAAGAAGAAGAAGAAGAAGAAGAAGAAGAAGAAGAGATGAGGAGTAATTATGAAGGAAAAGATAAATACCTTATGAAGGAAATCAATCGTAAGTTGTAACATATGATTTTCTCGTTGCTGATGATGAGAACAAGACAGGAGGATGGCAACGTTTGAGGAGGAGGCCGACGACATTCATTCATAAGTTTGGAGACGATGAAGAAGAAGTGTGAAGGAGGGAGCAGGAAGAGCAAAACGAGAAGGGAAATTGCGGCCAAATGAAGTTAAGTCTCGGTCAGCGTTAGTTTTTTACCTTACCGCAAGTCGGATCAATTTTGCTGACTGAGACTGGGTCAACAGCCTGATCAACACAAATCAAACATTCTGACCGGACCAAGCCAGACAAAAACGTATGACCAGACCCAGTCAGTACCAAATCAAACACGCCCTAAGAGCATCTCAATGTAGGCTTCTTTTATAATATCATAAGTTGTATATTTAACCTTTTCGATTTTAAATATATTTTATTTTATAACTATTATATAATATTTTCAATGTTTTTATTGTATTTTTAAAACTAAAACATAATAATTTTCATATTTTAAGTATATAAATAAAAACTTACTATAATTGTACTTTATATTTTATATAATTTGTGTTTAAAAAAGGATTAATTAAATGAGATGTTTTATAAAATAGTTTAGATAGATTATTGTAAATTAGTTAAATTTATTATTAAATAAATAATTAAAAAAAAACGAAAAGCTATTAGAATAAACTTAAGTGTTGTAGAAATCATTTATTTATAGGTCAAAATTAATAGTATGATAAGGTGTCAATAACTTTAAGTTTTAGAATAACTTAATCATTTGAGATGCTCTAAGGCTGTAGGGAGTGGTCATAACCAAACCACCAACCAACTTAATGCCACATACTTCTTTTAGCATTCCACAACCAACCCACTAGGTTTTGGAAATGGTATTCGCAGGTGGGTTGCTAGTGAAGGGGCAAAAAGGAAGAGAGAGAAGGAGAGAAAATGGAAAATGTCATAAGCATTAGTCAATCACCTTACTCGTCTTCATGCGCCTTGGCAGCCACTTCACAACCAACCAACCGGAGTCAAGGATGGTGTTCACATGTGGGTTAGTTTGCCACATAGGATCTCACGCGTGAATTAACCCCCCACTCCAGATTCCAACCCATTTAACCTGCTAACACATCAACTTTCCTTTCTTCTCTCTTCCATATTTCCCAAACTACTTTACTCACCCAATTTGTAATTTAAAAAACAAAAAAACAATAACTAATAAAAATCACATATATCCAATTTACAAAATATTAAAATCATATAAAACTAATTCAAAAACTAATTTAAAAACATACAATTTATTATGGTACAAATATAGAATCATAATATACAAGTGGTTATTGCATGGGTTGAAATTGATGGAATCAGGTTACGAAAGCCGCATATCAAACCCACACAACCCGCTCCTCTTAACCCACTGATGAGGAGTGGTGACTTGGAGGTACCAAAGACCAAAAAATACCTACCCTTTATGACACACCTATTTTTCTTTTATTGGTCCGTATCCTTGGCATATTTGTTAGAGGCAAAATAGTTATTTGCTTAGTAGTTGCTCACATGGAACTCACATTAATGGCATTACGGTATATCTACAAACATTAAAAAAAAACATGTCCACAAGAAACCACCTAGGTATATATGAATATGCACTTATATTCCCATAGATCATAGCTATAATTGCATAGAAACAAGGTATATTCCAATAATTTGTCATGACCTACATGTGCATGTTTAATTTTCAGTAACAAAACCGAATGTTTCATGTCCATTCTTGCTTTCGAAGGCTAGAATCCATTTGGTTTCATAACTCGATACTTGTTTCAGTATATTCCATTGTCAATTGTATGACCAATTTAGGGTATGGAATGTAAATGTCATCAGTTGATTACCTTTAGGCATAATTTAGTTAATGTAGATTCTTCTTGATAGAAAGGTATATGCTAATGTCTTAGTTTCTTTATTTGTAGTTCATCTCAGATATCTTGAAAAGTGTTAGAAACAATGTTTGAATCAATCGGATATTTTAAAGTAATAAAGAAAAATGAGATCTAAATATGATATCTTTAGCTTTGATTAAGTCTGAATGAGTACAAAGGGTTTTCGAGTACATAGAGCATAAACAGAGAGTGTTCCTTCCTCTAGACCTAAGTACTTATCCTATTTATAGGGTACATCAGACATACAAAAAATGCAAGGACGAGTCTATACATATCAACACCTGAAATGCCTTGTAAATAGCTTAGATAATGAAGGTACTTATCTTTCACTATTCACATACACAAACGCTAAAGATATAGCTTTTGAATCTCACTACAACTTTCGAATCTATAATATCCCCCTTAGTGAAAATAGTTGAAACATCAAGCTATAATTTTCATTACCTATAACAGCTCCCTTTGAATCTCCATATACCATAAAATGATTTTTCAGATCTCCGCTTTGTCTTCATTGTCGTTCCTCTTGCAATTATTGATGTAGATTAAAATATTCGAAAAATGAGAGTTTGAGTATCTCTCAATGTCATTTACTTGGAACAGAAACTTCATCAACTTGCCCTTCTTGTTCTTTCCTTGGAACACTACGCTAAAGGATCATGAATAATCTCACCATCTACAAACTAATCAATGTTCATCCTTCCTTTTAACAACGATTGAGGCACCTTTGAGGTTTTATTGATTGCCATAGGAAGATCTATATTTGTAATCGCAAAATACTCGTAGTAGCAATCAAGAAATGCTTTTATGCGACCATATCCAAGAATAAATCCATCTCTATTCACCTATTCCACTTTCGAAACATCAACATTGCACAAAATCTTTCATATAGTGATGAGATCATTCAAATTCATCAACAGAAAGTCTACAGTTATGAACTCTAATGCCACATTATTTGTCCTTATGACTGAGTATCAAAAGTTCTGCAGCAATCCTTCAAAAAATCACTTCAAGCACTGATGTGTGTGAACTCAACTAGTTTTAATCCTACTTTTTGAATATAAATTTAACACACAAAGGCAATGAACCTATCTATTGTGGTGTAGCTAAATAAGTAGGCTATCAAACTCAGGGAACCGCAAATTAAATTAATCACTAGAATTATCTAAGAAGCAAATAATAAAAGGAAGGGTTTTCTCTAGTTTTACAAGACTAGAAACTTAAATAAACTAACTAACATGCAATTTAACAAACTAACAGCTAAAGCAAGTAAATATTACTAAATTCAATAGTTAAAAGGACTTCTGTTTAGGTACGAATCATTTGTTCCCATGGATGATTTTATGGTAAATGTATCGGATTAATTCTTCATTGGTTACCGATTAAAGTGATTAGATTTACATTCGCTATAGCTAATCCTTAGAAAACAGATTAATTTAAGCAATGGCCAGTTGTCTAAATTAATGAATTTCCTAATTTATTGATTCGGGTTAAGTAAGACTTGTAATTAGCTAATCAAATTGGTGATTCAATTAACCTCGTGTTGATGGTGTATCACACAAGCTCACACATTAACTTACCTATCTTCTAGTTAATTCTAGTTTCACATTCGTTATTCCTAGACATATAACTATGTGTTCACATAAATCATATGAAATTAACAAAGAATAGTTGTAATTAACATTTGAGGTTCTTTAACAAGCTTGGCAAAACAATATCACCAATTAAAATTAACTCTAACCATAAAAATCAATCCATGTTTACAAATTCATCTACCCTAAACAGAAGTTATGAGTTTTTAGCACATGATTACAATAAAAGAATATGCAAAAACGAATTCAAATAGTTCCAACATGATTCAATCAAAATATTTGATAAAAATAAACTAGAATTTTCCTTAACTCTCTTCGAAATTGAACTTAGGGTTTATTCCTCAGCTTCTCCCGGTCTAGCAGCACCTTCAATCGCAATTTCAGCCTCCTAGGGTTCCAGAGAAGTCCCCATCTCGATCTCAAACTCTCTATTTATAAATTTCTGGAAACAGAGGTGACTCGTCAAGTCAAGGTCTCAACTCGTTGAGTCCCTCATTAAAAATCCGTGTACGACAAGGACTTCTAGAGCTTCGCGAATCTTCGATCCGACTCGTCGAGTCAGGAGTTGACTTGCTGATTCCTCTTGTGTTTGACATTGTTTCTTCTTTGTTTCAACTCCCAAACTTCCAACTGCTTTTCCTGATTCCTTTTGCTTCTGAGCTTCTCTTTTGGACTGAAAATACAATTCAAACACTATTAAGTAGCTTTTGTCCATAATCTGAAAATATTAAGCGAATAAATAACAAAAATCTACACTAAATATATAGCTAAATATGCACATATCAAGAACTACTGACATTACTTTGACAATCTTTACCAACAACCAAACTTCCTCTTCACCCTTTCCTAAGACAGCATGAAATCAAATCTTCAATCTCTTTAATTAACTTTGTTGTTGAAGTTGTGAGCAGTTTTGAACCGAGTAGACGTGAATAACATATGATTGATTGGGAAATCGAGTTAATTGAATTCTGTGTTTTCGTTTTCATAACTTTTCTTTGGCCTTTTCATAAATTCATCATTCTTACCAAGTACAACAGTTTATATTGTTTTGTAACACCAATGCTTGTTGTGATCGCCTTTGTTCAAGCATGGTGGATCATTCACCGTCTTTCCATTTCTATTGCATATAATCTCTTCTTCTCCTCGATAGTTTGTTCAACTTGGATACATTTCCCTTTCTCTTTGGGATCAACATTTGAGGTTAATTTAATAAGTCTGAACTCGAACTTCCAACTCCTTCATTAATCAAAATTCTTTTATTGTGAACTTTCGGGTAATTAACATTCCCTTTTGAAAGATTCCATGTTGTATTGGTTTTTTTGATGATACGGCAACTGGCTTCATTGGAATTGTTGTTAGAATTTACGCAGGCATCACTTTCCCCACAACTACTCTTGAATCTTCTCCAGATCCCTTAGGCGAACCAACACCAACACCTCTATCCACCCCTTGTGAGACGTACATAGGATGTGGAGCATTTGTTGGTAGTCTAAGTACCAAATTCAGGATCAAAGCTAACTCAGCCTTCATACTTGACTCGATGTTCGAAACCATAGCAAAAATCGAATCTTCAAAAATAGAAGATTGAGTCGAAAGATCAACTTCCGATAATGTCTCTTTAAAATCAGATAAAAATTCTTCAACTTTCTCAAACACCTTGTTATCCTTCTTAGTCTTAGCTTTTAGATCTTTTGAATATTCGTTGTTGAAGGCGGTGATATTTTTGATCAGGCGAGTTGTTGCATTTGCTATGCATCATCCTTTTTATGTAGCAAGTTGTAGTTATCATCTAAATTCTTAACATCTTTATCCATCAAGGTTCAAAGCTCATTAACCTGAAGCTCAAGAGAAGATTTCGACTTAAACAATTGCTGCACAAAGAGCTCATGACGCACTTTCGCAAATTCACGTAGCTTATTAATCTCATAATCAAGAATGCAAGACTGATTATCCATTCTCTCTTCATGTTTCTTATCAACACTTTCAATGATTTTTCTCAAAAGAGAATCTTGATACTTGAGAAGATATTTAACTTCAACCCCATTAAGTGAATTCTTGCCTCCAGTATCAGCTAAAAATTGAAGAATATAATTCATTTTGGAGTTAAGAATCTTGAATTGTTTACCCCACATGATTAACTCATCAAATATATCTTCTTCTTCAGGATTGAACTACAACTTAGCAAATAAAACCATGACATTATCATCATCTACTTTAGCTTTGTTAATGGTTTTCTCAGATTCAGTTAATTGAGATGAGAAAAGTGAAGCAATAGGTTCTTGCATTACACCAGCAAAAGTTAGAGAAAATGTTGTAGTAGATGAAGGTGGAGTAACTAATGTAGGTGGTGGAGAAGCTGGTTGCGGTGGAGCAACAATAGTTGTTTCGACGGTTGTGGTAATAGTTGAAGTTTTGAGTGTTGTTGTTGTTGTTGTTTCGACAGTGCATCTCTTTACCCATATTAACATTTGGGTCCTTTTCAGATAAGTTCACAGTGATGTCTAGAGTTTCGACCTCCTCCATAATTGACTCAATATGCGAAATTTTAGGAACCGTCATTGATAGAAACCCAACAGTTTCAACATTTGTAAGAAAAATAACATATTCCTGAGTATATACTCCCTCAAAATTAATCCCCAAAACCTAGCACTCAAAACTCCACTTGCTATTTTGGAATGAGAAATCAAATTTCCAAATTCTTCCAACAACAAGGATGCATAATCAACATATAATCCATAATACAACCCAACCACAATAGAATAAACTACAAGTTTCACCGTATCCAACCTTGAACTTCTTCCAATTATGAACCTTTGCATAATGTCGAAAAAGAAACTCCAAATACATGGCAAACTGGACTTCTTAAAGTAACCAATAACAAATAAAGTGGGTTGATGATCCATCTCATTGAACATATGAATTACTTGTTCAGTGGTCACATCATAAAACATATCTATAGAAGGTAACTTCAAGATTCTGGAAAATTTCTTATTGGTAAGTTGCTTCATCTTATTAGACATCAATTGAAACATAAAATCTTTGTGGTTTTGTTGTAAATGGTAGTAGAAGTAGCTAACGATAGCCATTGCATTAGAATTGCGAATGAAGATGATAAAGCATGATTAAGGATAGAGTTGTTCAAAACAAATATGATCATTCTTAGTTCTTCAGGATAAACATCAAGCAAGGGATTAAGACAATAGTTCGAATGAAGAAAAAAAACAAATTGGAGCAGAATTTGCAGGTTCAGAGCACCGCACTGTCAAGGCAGAAGTTGCGGGTTCGATCCCTGTCATTCTCAAAGCTAGATTAAAAAAAGACATCAATTCCTCTCTCCATTTTCTGTGAAAAGGGGGCATGGAGCGGAATATCATTCCTATCCTAACAGGGGATCTTTTATTTTTTGAATCTTCATCATCGGTTGTTAAACCTCTTCGTCATTGGTATTAAATTGATCAACGATGTTTTTCTCAGCAGCCATTTGAGTAGATTAAGAGAATTTTTAAGAGAAAATTGGCGATGAACAATTAAGGTTCTTGAGAGAATTCTATGTGCATAAAATTGGAATTAGAATGAGCAGTTTCCTTAAATAACTAGCATGAAATTTGAATTCAAACTATTGCCTAGTGAGATAATGCCACGTGGAATATTGGTTACTTAACCCTCACCATAGAAAACTGTCACGTATAAAAGTGATGATCACTTTTTTCCTAGAGTCTCGTGAAAATATGGAACCATCCCATCCAATGGATATTTCGCATCCCCAATTAAAAATGAACTGCCATGTTTTTTGATACAACTATAGAACCATCCTTCGTCATGGCAGCTGGGCTCATTCACTTATGGGAAGGATAAGCGAAATCATTTGCCAAAGTCTGCAAAATCTAAGTTTCAAGTTTGTAATACTCTAAACCTCAAGGATTTCAGTGATTATATATGACAAAGGAAAAGATAGAAGCAAAAAAAAAAAAAATTAGGCACTATGATATCAAAGAATCTTTGATACAAAAGTAGATAGATCTCGGGAAAATACACGCTTCATTCGACATCAAGAGAGATGACGAACAACTTGTTTGGTTTCCCGTGAATTACAATCGAAAACTCATTGAGGAGTATCGAAAGGCCTCTTTTTCATAAGGTTCATGGATGGTGTCATTTTTACACAAATTTACAACTTAACATAAGTGTAAAAAGTTGTGCAAAAATGCTTGGATGACTAGTGTAGTCAAGAATAAGTAAGCTTTGAGATATTTGAAATAACAAAAGTTTGAGAAAGATGTTCAAACGGAAATCTCATTTCATGGAAATTTAAAAACTAGATCTATTGGGTATAAACAACTTGGAATGATCACATTTCATTAAGATCACACAATAGAAATGCAAATGGGATTTTGAACATCCAAAGTGATACTTTGAAATAACTGCTTTGTGATAATCTTGAATATAAAATGTTCACCGTCAATTCATTAAGTTGAGATTTGTTGGGTTTCACCTTCGTCACAAAAAAATGATTTAGGATCATTAACACAGATTTGTGACATACGTATATCCTGGTTTGTTTCGACCAGAGATGTCTTAGGCATGTATCATTGTGTGTGACCGTGTTAGAAATTTTGAGTGAAAAAAGATTGGATATGAAGACTCATTATACCTCTGTGAAAAATGGATATAGAAATCTCTTTAGTCAACATGATAAAAGAAAGGTAGCTCGTCGACTATTGTGAATACAGCCTGATTGGGAAGAAACTTTTGTGTGAAAATTTTCATTGAGGCTTCGAACATAAAGAGCCTATGAGTCTTCTGGACAACATATTGCAGTATGCTTCTAGAGACATGTGACTAGTACAAAAGTTTCATATCATACATGTTCCTTTTGAATATGTGCATTTGGCATGCAAAAGAACATCTTACAATGAGCTCCTAAACAGAAATAAAAAGAAAATATTTATGTATTTTTCAACGTTTTTTTAAATGAAAATTCAAACATAACGAAAATATTTTTGGGTTTTTGATTTTGTAAATGCAAAAACAAAACAAAAAAATCTTTTTGGATTTTTGAATTTTATGAGCAAAAGAACAAAATTAAGAAAATCTTTTGGGATTTTTGAACTTTATAAACGAAATAACAAAAATATAAATTATTTTTGAATTTTTGAAGCTTATAAAAGAACAAAAATAAGAAAAAAAATTGGATTTTTGATTTTATAAATGAAAGAACAAAAATAAGAAATTCTTTTCTATTTTAGATATTTATAAATGAAAGGACAAAAATAAGAAAAGGATATTACTAAGACTTGTTATTTGTTAGAGAGAACAAATACGCCACACACGAACCAATGTTTTCTTATCTCTAAAGAAATGTCCCATAGTCGAGCGCTCACCAATGACATATACTTCCCACCGAAAGACTAACTCCATACACAACTGGTACTAAATGACTCAGAGGGAAATCGAATGCAAAAGCATGAGAACGCTAAATGTGAACAGTAACCTCTGAATGACTAGAATACAAGTAACAAAAGTTAGTAAAACACTCGAAAGTTATACCAACTAATCGAAACTGAGATAAACAATCGAAAGTTAACCTAACAATCGAAGGTAAGATAAACAATCCAAATATAACCTAACAATCGAAAGTAAGATCAATAAATTCACATTGTAAATCGAAGACAATTTATGTAGAATGTGGAGCATGACAAGCTTCCATCATTCCCAATCCATGTAAAATTCTTAAAAATGATTTTTCATCCAATGGTTTTGTAGAAATATCAGCAAGCTGATCAGTTGTTTTAACAAAGTAGACTTCAATATTTCCATCTTCAACATGGTCTTTGATGAAATAGTAACGAAGAGAATTATGTTTAGTTTTCAAGTTTTGAACTAGGTTATGACGTATGCAAATTTCACTTTGAGAATTGCAGTACAAATGAATTTTTTTCATGTTAATCGCATAGCCACATAGTTTACTTTAGATCCAGATCACTTGAGATGTATACCAGCAACAACAATGTATTCAACCTCTATAGTCGAAATTGATACACATGTTTCCTTTTTCGATTGCCAACTCATAAGTTTCCTATCTAGAAGTTGACATCCCCATGTTGTTCTCTTTTGATCTAATTGACAACCCTGTAGATCCACATCTAAGAAAGGTTGAATGAAGAATCCTGTTTTAGACGGATACCACAAACCGAGAGTCTTTGTTCCATGTAGGTATCAAAAGATGTTTTCCACTATAGTAAGATGAGGTTTTCTTGGATTTTCTTGATACCTAGTACAATTACACACAGAAAACATTATATCAAGTTGACTTACAGTTAAATACAAGAGTAAACTGATCATGCTTCTATATGTTTTGATATCACCAGCTGGCTTATCCGAAAAAGGACCTAAACGAATGCTGAATTCCATGGGAACTTTAGCTGTCGTGCAATTTTCCATTCCAAATATTTCAAGCTGATTTTGAGTGTAATTTTCTTGGTTAATAAAAATTCCTTCCCTTCTCTGATAAATATTTAAACCCAAGAAATGATTTATCTTTCCCATCATTATCATTTCGAACTGACTCTTGATAAGCTCCGAAAATTCTTTGACAACGAAGGGTCACTTGAATCAAATATAATGTCATTCACATAAATTTAAATGAGCATCATATGATCCTATTTGTTTTGAAATAGAGTGGGATTAACTGATCCTTGCTTAAATTTTGCGAATTTAAAAATATTGGTAAGAGTCGCATACCAAGCACGAGGTGCTTGTTTTAACCCATAAACTGCCTTGTCAAGAACATCGCAATGGTTAAGAAACTTATCATTGATGAAACCAGGTGGTAGTTCGACATTAATTGTTTCTTTAAGAACACCATTAAGGAAAGCACACTTAACATCCATCTGGTAGAATTCGAATTCCTTATGAACTGCATAAGCCATAAAAAATTGTACAACCTTGAGTCTTACGACATAGGTAAAGGTTTCTTCATAATCAATTCCCTCTTGTTGACAATCACCTTTTACGACTAATCTATCTTTGTCCATAACAATATTTCCTACTTTGTTCATTTTATTTTTAAAAACCCATTTTAGACGAACTATCGAAACATCATCAGGTTTAGGAACCAATATTCAAGCCTTGTTTCTTTCAAATTCAGCTAGTTCAACCTCATTTTTGTCTCAAATCTATGCTTGTGTCAAAACCCCAGAACTTGGATCACTAAGAATTTGTTCTTTTGGATGATTCCTCGTCCATTTCTCCATTGGAGGAAAGGCAGGATCAAACTCCAAATGTGCATCCTCATATGTTTCTCCAGCTTCTAATAATTCATCTAAAATAGGAAATACTATCGGTAGTATCGAATACTGTAACACCCTGAATTCAGAAGTGCAAGTTCAGGGTTCTTAGTGTAAATAAGGAAATTTCGACTCGGCGAGTCGAGTCGTGGTTCTGGTCATGTGTTAAGTAACCAACTCAG